TACTGTAGCATTTTCAGCTAAAACGGCACGAAAATTTATTCTGCAGTCTAGTAATGTTAGTGCTATGATTTAAGGGTAATCGGAATGTATTCTAATGACGTGGTTTATGATGTTCAGCTTCTTTATTTACTGAAAGACTATCATGTCACGCATTTTATTTCACAGTTATATAAAGAAAAAAATACATTTAATTAATGTAAAGTTATTTCTTCAAAACTATAATGTCAAAATTATAATCTCATTTGGTTTGCTGCTAGCTCAAAAGTGTTTCCAAAAATTATGAGATCAGTTCATTTTCTTGTTTCAGCCAGAGAGTTTTATTTCCTCGTCTGTTCTTTCATATTAAAATAAATTTAATATAAAAATTCATTTAAAATGCTTAATATTATTACCAAAAGGTTAGGTGAGGTATTATTACCAAAAGGTTAGGTGAATAAGAAGCAAATTAATAAATTTAAAACATTCTTTTCATCATATTTCAGTATTTTTAAATGCATACCGGTTGACCATAATCGAAGGACTGAAAGATCTCCCCTCCCCAGCCTTTACAAATACAATTTTCTTCTGTTTGTCTAATTTTTAAAAACAAAACAGAATTTTTATATTTCATATTTTACAAGAAATTTCTTTTTTGGTATGATATTACTAATATTTTTATGTATGATATAAATTACGCTCTCAGCAAAATTTGTCTAAATTTACGCTTTAATAGCAAAATACTTATATAGTATCTGACGTTTTAGAAAAACTCACCCTTCCCAAAAGCTCCAAGTACTAATCACCAGATGAACAAAGATCTTTCAAATGATTAATTTTGACCTGAAATGAGTAATTAATGGCAAAAACAAAAGAAATCATTAATGAAAGGTTTGGTTTGGCTTATAAATACGGCAAAGCACTCGAGGGCTGTCTGCCTAATGAGAAGGATGTTTTCGTGGAGGACTTTCTAAGTTTTAAAGAAAGGAAACTTGAAACAATACACTGAAGTTTTAGATTCAAGATCATAGAATATCATTAAGTATTTGTGCCTTTTTAAAATAGCATATCGGTTAGAAATAAATTATCAGATTTCCTTGGCTGATTATTTTAATAAGCCTAACAATTTTAAAGTTAATTAACTGAAATATAAAACACTTTTTAATGGTTAAATCTATTTCAGCATACTTGTCGAAATGCATCTTTTTTAATATCTTCTCATTGCAACCTAACAATATTGTGCATGATACAATAAAAAGTGCCAGACGTTCAACTATGATGAATTGTATGTAGCGAATTACATGATTATTTGACAATAATCAACTGAATAAAAATCAATAGGTGATTTGCAGTCTATAATTTTTGGTTTTAGTTTCAATAACCCTCTTTGCTAAGTGTCTTCTTAAATGTGTTTGAATTTCTCAGGGCTTTAGTAAAAGTGCAAATGTGTTTTAAGAAAGCATGTTATTTGCCTTTTGAATAATATGCTCTCTTTTGCAACTTTCTAGCATTGTAGATAACTAAGATGCAGTTTCCCAGTTCAAAAATACTTCTTAGTCCAGATATTGAGTTATAAAAGCCTTCCTTTTTAACACGTTATATTGCTCGTTGTTAACATTGGGAGATTATTATACATGAGAAATAAATGAAAATGAACTTAACTGTGCTTTGTTATCAAACGACCTTTTCGTTGACATTAGTTACATACTTTGAGGTTAGAAACTAATTACAGGTAGATTGGACGTAAGAAAACTTACTGTGAGTCACAAGTTATAAGGTATTTCTCCCGCTTTCCTAGCGTGCTTTCGTAGTGTAGTGGTTCTGCACGCTGGGCCGGTATTCCAGGAGGTCCGTGGTTCGATTTCCGGCGAAGGCGATTGCTAATTTTTCATCTCGTCTGCTTCCAAATCACCTAATGTCTCTACAAGGTTAGGTCAATAGATTAAGGCAAGCTCAACTCGAGCGCTATCTGTCTATTAGAAAGCATACCTTTGTATATGATGTTTTAAGAGAAACTGGCTCATACCTGCGTAACACATTTGGTCAAACCACGAAAAATCTCATAAAGCCAACCCATTCACCGGTAGAACTACCAGCGTTAAGTGACTTCAACGATCTGCCATTGGTGGGCTACTCTGAGTCAGAAGTTTGTAACTGTACGTCTACTTAATTCATGTTTAGAGAAATGTTGTTAACAAGCTAGTGGCAGATTCCAAGTAATGTGATATTAACTTCATAGAAGTTAGGAGCAATCAAGCTTTAACTTTTTACTCCTCTTTTTACTTAATCTTAAACCCTCTGACTGTAAGTCGAAATAAATATATTAATTTTAAAGGAGAAATTAAATTTTTTTATAATAATGCATTGATTTTATGAAATAAAACAGTGCAGTGAGCTGAGAAAAGACTCGAACTCGCCAACCTAGGCTAGAACTATGATTTTTCAACTGCACATTATTTTTCTTTCCCTTATTTCTTTTACACATTTAGGAAAGTTTTGTTTAATGTAGGAAATAGCTCGATTCAGGAAGTTTAATTTAGAGTCTAAATCCCTAAAATTTACTAAATTTAATAAAAAATAGGCGGCGATAATAGACCACTGTATCCATTCTTAAATCTAAGAATATGATGTTTAAAATGTAGATAAATAAATTTTTTTAAAGGGAAGACATTTTGTCTAAAATTTTAATATTGCAAAAAATGACTTTCCTGTCTTCATTTTTAATTTAGTAAGTTTCAAATACAAAATATTTGTATGTTTTTCCTTTCGCTCGAAATAATCTTAAAATTTTTAATGCTTCACAATCATCTTGTCTTTGAGTGTCAGAGTCATAAAACATGCGATGATATTTTATAAATTTTACTCATTCTTTTGTAGCTTTCTTTATAGAATACTGTCGAAAACAGTTATTAATTAGAAAAGAAGGGCTTATTTAGGAAACAGCGGTTGTAAAAGCTATAATGAAGAGGGTAAAGTGTACAGCTGTTAATTAAACTACAAATTATTTATAACAAATATTAACTATTCTAACATAACTGAGTAAGACTAACTATGCTATTTCTTTAATTTATCTTAACTGAATAATAGTACATATACTACAGTAAAATGTACTTTTCTTCCGTAGAAGTGTATTCCATGATTTCTAACAGTAGCATTTTAAAAACTATGCTATAACATGAAACTAAATCTGAGAAAAATAAGTCCGAGTGAAAAACAAAACTTCAATTACTTTTATTCTCTAAATGCATTTAAAAACACTTATGCAGTTTGTCGACGCTAAAGGCGCCATCTGGGAAAATTATGTAATATTTGTGTTCTGAAACGATGACACTGATGTTTCTTTTATAGCTCCACCTTGCGGCCACTTGTATTTAGTTTGAGTGTGTTCTGAGACGCCGCCGAGAGATGAGAATTAACTATGCGGCTTTTTGAGTAATTAATAAATTTTAGTATACAGTCTATTTTTGAGTTCTTGTGTAAAGTGATTTATTTTATTATGAGTTTTACTGAGCTATTTAACGGGCCCATTTGTTAGTCCTTACTCAGCCGGAGTTCGAATGTGTGTCAAAGTCGGAAGACAAATGTCGTGGAAGGAAAACTTGTGGATTACTCTTAAATAGAAGGTACGTGGCCTTAATTGTAACAACTGTGTAATTGAAAAAGTAGATTCAAAATGTTTAAAAGTGCAAAAAAAAAAAAAGAAGATTATCAGCGTATTACTGTAGAGCTGAATTTAAACATTTCAGAAGCGAAAACTATCAGATTTAACTGATATAATTAAAAACAGTGAAATCTATAAGAAGGATCCTGTATTAGTTGAAGCTATAGCTAATAATATTAACAACGAAAGGAAAAGTGACGAGAGCCGATCGCTCGAACTTGAGAAAGTGAAAACGGAACGAGCGAAATCGAAACTAGAACTCGCGAAATTGCGAGCAGAATCAAAGAGTGAAAACCTCATAGAATATGAGAAAAGAGAAAAATGTAGAAACTCCTGACTCTCTTATTAAAAGTATACGCACATTAACAACTAAAATTCCAATTATACCGGAAGGTTATGGTTATTTTCTTTTCATCGCTAGAAAGGACGTTCATTTCAAAAAGTGTTCCAGAGAAATTTAAATTGGAAATTCTTCTAAATTTGTTGGGTGAAAAAGCCACAAATGTTATTACATACATTAAATACAACGAATTAAGTGATTATTCGAATGTTAAAGAAATAGTGCTGAGAGAATTCGAACCATCCCCCCAAATTTGTTTAGAAAATTTTAGGAAGACATAGCGAATGACGAATGAAACTTATGTGCAGTTCGCGTCTAGATTAACTACGAGTTGGGATTATTATTTGAAACTGACAAAGGTGAGTGACTTTGAAACATTAAAACTATTAATGGTTTCTGATAAAATATGTCAAACACTTGATAAAGAGGTTATGTGTTTTATAAATATAAGGCAAGGAAATTCTTGGTTTAAACCTGTAGAATTGGCGAAGGAGATAGATTTGTATTATACCTCAAAGGGAAAACCTGTAGTGGATAATTCTAGGTTAAGCAATAAAAACAGTTATCCTAAAAATATGTCAAAGGTTTTTCTAACCGATGTAAAAAATTCAAAATGTATTTTATCATGCAATGAAATTCATCCTTTGTACAAATGACCTGTTTATAAAAACATGACAGTTAGCGATAGGGTTGGGCTAGTGAAATCGGAACATCTATGTTTCAACTGTTTAGGAAATCATAAGGTGATTAATTTGCAGCAATAAATTCTCTTGCGGTATTTGTAAAAAGAAACATCACGTTACTCTTCATTTCCCTCGCGAACAAAAAATAAATAAAGGTGGTTTCGCAGGTGGTGAGTCATGAAAATGAAAATATTCCTTCGAATTTGGACGCTTCGGCTCCATCATTTGAACCTCTGCAAGCGAAAACGAGTACTGATCCAAAGTTTATTCTCAACCACGTGCAATCTTGCGAATGAATTAAAAACTGTCTTACTCAGCACTTTTGTTTGTTTAATTAAAGATGCATCGAGGTAACTTTTTTAAAGTTAGAGGTTTGTTAGATGTCGGTGCTAATTCAAATTTGATGAGCAAAAGGTTAGCATATTTGCTTCAATTAAAGGGACAAAAGACTAACATTTCTGTTTCAGGAATAAATAATTTGTCTTTGAATATAAAATCTAGAGTTAGTGCAACTATTTTAACTAGAGACAAGAGTTTTCAATTAGGTTTAAATTTTTTGGTGGTTCCTAAAATAACAGAATATACGCCCTCTATGCCTCTTGAAATTAATGTTTCATCTTTACATAACATCAATTTAGCGGATGACAAATTTTTTGAGCCAGGCCCAATTGAATTTCTGACAGATGCAGAACATTTCTATGAGCTTTTAAAATCAGGTCAAATTTCCCTTCAGGATTCAAATTTAAGATTACAAAATAGTGTTTTCGGCTATGTTGTAAGTGGGACTCTTCCTGCTAAAGGGGAAAGTAAATTACATTGTGGGCTTATTACAGATAATTTGGAGTTAGAAAGAGCAGTAAGAGAGTTTTGAGAAATCCAAAACGTAGAAAGAGAGTCTGAGATTTCTAAGAGTAAAGAAGCAGAAATTTGTGAACAGCATTTTCTCAAAAACTATTCGAGGACTGAAACCGGAAAATATGTAGTCAAGATACCGGTTAAAGAAGATCCGATGTGTTTAGAGAATTCGAAACAAATCGCGCTTAAGAGGTTGAACTCGTTGTGGACTCGTTTAAGTAGGATGAAAATTACTTACTATTGTACTCTGATTTTTTACATGAATATAGTGAACTATGTCACATGACTGAAGTGAAAGATGAAGATGAGCAAAAGGGGAAATATTACATTACACACCTTGGTATTTATCGCCTTGAGAAAAGTTCGACACCTTTGAGAGTAGTGTTCAATGCTTCGACTGCAACGTCAAAAGGTAATTCGCTGAATTCAATTCAGTATAATGGTGATGCAATTCAAGAGGACTTGTTTTCAATTATGGTATGTTTCCGAAAACATATTTATGCTTTTACAGCGGATATCAGAAAGATGAACCGAATGATATCGATTCATCTCAACGGCAGCTACAGAGAATTTTGTGGAAAGAGTCAATTAATGGTACAGTTAAAACTTTTGAGTTGAACACGGTCACCTATGGCACAGTAAGTGCACCTTTTTTAGCCATGAGAACATTAGATCCGCTTGTTATAGATGAGTTCACAAATTTTCCATTAACAGCTTCAATTCTACAGAATGATTTTTACATGGATGATGTGCTAACAGGGTCCAGTTCATTGAGTTCGGCAAAAGAACTACAGCATGAACTAATTGAGATTCTAAAAAGTGCAAATATGACTCTGCACAAATGGTGTAGCAACAATCTGGAGCTTGCAGTTAACGTTGCATTAATACACATTTCACTGCGCGAATGAAGTGTCAGCCCTTGGTGTTTCCTGGAAAGAAGATAACGATTGTTTTAAAATTAAAGTGAAACTAGAAAATGAGTGGGAAATTACTAAAAGGCACGTTTTATCAACAATAGCGAGAATCTTTGACCCACTTGGTTTATAGGATCCCGTGATAGCTAAAGCTAAAATATTTCTTCAGAGACTATGGGTTTTGAAGCTCAGTTGGGACGATTTTCTACTTGAAAGAGAAGCCAAAGATGGGCAACGGTTTTTCTCTGAACTGCCACATATAGTATGTAAATTAGAAACTAACAGATGCATTCTTGTCGCAGAAGCAATTATTATTGAGTTACACGGATTTTGTGACACTTCTGAGTTAGCTTATGGAGCTGTGGTTTATTGTAAATCCGTCTCCCAATATGGTGAAGTAATGATAAGGCTGGTAACAAGTAAATCAAAAGTTTCTCCTATATAAGCAAGTTAACCATACCAAGATTAGAGTTATGCGTAGCTGCTTGTGAAGTTAATGACTCGAGTAATATCTGCTCTGAAACTTAATGTGAATAATGTATTTTCTGGAGTGACTCTTCGATAGTCTTGGCTTGGCTGAAAAAGAAGCCCTGTTGTATGAAAACGTTTGTTACTAATCGAGTTGCGGTGGTTCAAAAAATGACGGAGGTGCGACAGTAGCATCACGTCTCATCTAAACAGAACCCTGCGGATCTCATATCAAGAGGTACTGATCCGGTCATACTTCAACTGTGTGAACTGTGGTGGTGTGGTCCTCCATTTTGTTTCAACCTATGATGACTAAGTGCCAAGATGATATCCCCGGGGAGTCCGAAGAACTGTATCTTCGCGAATTATAACCACCAGTAGTAAGTGAAATATGTGCACTTATTAACACTACTAAGCCATTAGATGTCGTCAATAATTGTTCATCTTACAACAAATTGCTAAGAGTAGTGGCTTAGTGCAAGAGATTCATACATAACACCAGGCATCCATTGCTTGCTACATGCGTAACGTTGACAACCAGTGAACATTCTAGTGCGTTATTGTGTATTGTTAAAAACGTTCAAAGGACTTTATTTGTGCCAGAAATCCAGTGCTTAGAAAAGGGTGCTTCTATTCCTAATAGTAGTGAACTATTTAATTTGTGTCCATTTTTAGATCATGATGGAGTACTCAGAGTGGGTGGCAGAATGAAAAACAGTAATCTAAGTGAAATGAAAAAACATCCTATTATTCTGCCAACTAAACATAATTTTACTGTAATTGTGATTAACCATTTTCATGTTCTTTATTTTCATGCAGGTGCTGAAACAACACTATCATTTATAAGGAGTAAATTTTGGATTGCTTCTGCAAGAAATGTAATTAGAAAAATTATATTTAATTGTATGATTTGTAAAAAGGTAAATTCTAGGTCTGCGCAGCAACAGATGGCTGATTTACCAGCTCCGAGAATGACCATATCAAGAGTTTTTGCTAGAACAGAACTCGATTTCTGCGGTCCATTTGTGGTAAAAAATTTTGTAGGTAGAAGTAAACAGATAAGAAAAGTTATTTGTATGTATTTTCGTATGTTTCACTACGAAAGCCTTGCACTTTGAGATTGTAAATGATTTAACAAGTGCAGCATTTATAGCAGCACTTAAACGCTTTATTGCCAGGCGAGGTAAACCCTCAGATATTTTCAGTGATAAAGGCAGAAATTTTGTGGGTGTTCATAGAGAATTAAGGAGCGAATCTAAAATCTTTATTTAAGGATAAAAGTGAGGAAGAAATCAAAGGTTATTTGGCTACTGAACGCATAAATTGGCATTTTAATCCTCCCTCTACTCTCATCCTCTACTCTCCCTCTCTCTAATCCTCTCTCACTTTGGAGGTTTATGGGAAGCTAGTGTGAAATCCCTTAAATATCACTTGAAACGTGTGGTGGGAAAAACAATTCTAACTTATGAAGAATTTTTTTACTCTAAGTGTTCAAATTGAATCTGTACATAATTCTCGCCCTCTTTGTCCCATATCAAATGATCCAAATGATGTAGAGGCATTGACACCTGCTCATTTTCTTATTGGTTCATCTTTAATTGCATTGTCTGAACCTAATTTTACAGATTCCTATAAATCGGATAACTAGATGGCAAATGATTCAGAAATTAAATCAAAACTTTTGGAAAAAATGGTCGTCTGAATATTTAAACAAACTTTTAAATAGACCTAAATGGTAAAAAGGAAGAGTACAAATGAAGAAAGGAGATTTAGTTTTAGTAAAATATACGGATAACTAACTCTCCTTTAAAGTGGCATTTAGCACGAATTATTAAAACCCATCCAGGTCAAGATAATATTATTCGAGTTGTGACACTTAAATATAAAAATGGAACCTATAAAAGGCCAATGGCAAAAATTGTACCTTTGCCTTTTGTTAATGAAGAAGTTTCAGTTACGTAAATTTTATTTGTAGTTATCAAGTCTGAGTTTGTATAATTGTATAACCATCATTATTATTGTCTTGGAGTGTTGTGTTTGTATTTTATAACTTGTGTTCTAAATTTTTTGTTGAATGTAACATTCAAGGCCAGGCTGCATGTTGACGCCAGAGGCGCCATCTGTGAAAAATATGTAATATTTGTGTTCTAAAACGATGACGCTGATATTCGTTTATAGCTCCACCTTGCAGCCACTTAAATAGAGTTTGAGTGTGTTCTGAGACGCCGCCGAAAGATGTGAACTAACTATGCGGCTTTCTGAGTAATTAATAAATTTTAGTATGCAGTCTAATTTTGAGTTCTTGTAATACCTTTAATTACGTTTAAAAACTAATTTTTACATTAACGGGAAGCTATCATAAAATCAATTTATTCGTGAAACGAAAAACTTTCAGAAGAACGAGTAGTAAGGAAACTATAATTTAAATGCCGAAGATGTATACTTAAAGCGTGACCTCTGTACCGCCGAATCTAGTGGCTGTGTTCTCGCAATGCAGGGTAGCCCAAATAATGATGATCAAATAAAGTCACTTTTAATTAACCAAGAAGAAGGTGAATTTTGTTGTGAAAAATTTCCAAATTTGTTTGTCTTTTATCAATGCATTATCTCAGACGCTAAACTCAGTTATTAAATGATTGTTTTGAATACTGGAATTCATAACTTTAATTTCACAAATAATTATTGATTTTTCATCATGGATAGATATGGGACATGCAAGCTCATTGTTTAAAACAGCCCACATAAAACAAATATAAAGTCTTAGGCAACTTCGATAAAATTTTCAAATAAATTATTTTCATTCTTCTTTCAAGTGCTGACCCTAAGACGACTCTTACGTCTGATGTCTTTCACTGCTGCAAACCTTTGATAGACGTAAAGCGACTTATTGCTAAGTCTAAAAGTAAGTACAGAAAGTTGAAAAGAGTCTTTTATTTTAAACTCAAATAGATGAACAGAAGACGCATCTAGTGTTTATAAATCCGTCATCATTTGTGGTAGAAATTAAAATGTAAAGTTAAATTTAAATATCTAACAGCCAAAGGCTACATAGAGTAATTAATTGCGAAGCTGGCTTGGAATTCACGGAGGTGAATTTAACTGTCGGCAGTTAGCAATGCAACTTTGTATGCAGGAACTATTACCTACATTAATGCTAAAAAAATCACCAAATGCTAATAGAAAAAAGAGGAATGAAAAACATACAGTTTACATATGAGGTAGAGGTTGTATCGCCGAATGCAAATAAACAACCAAAATTAGCATAAAACGTAATCCTGCAGTCACAACACAATACTTCAAAAGGACATGCTGGACCTATGCGTCGGTTTGAGAACAACGCTAGCTCCGTTTAATCCGAGATAGCGAAAGCAGAAAGCGTAGCCGAAGACAACATCTGCGCAATGAAATGATTTCAAGTGCTGTCAGGATTTTGCAAGCTGGTTCAAGACAATTGTTAAATATCTTTGCCGTGAGAATTCAATCCAAAAAAAAATTACTTATCTGGTAAAGACGTCTTGATGTGGAGGACTCGTATCCTAATAAGCGTTGACGTCGGCGGGGCTCATCTTTACGGTCACAAAATGGAAGTTTCAGAAGACATCGTCCTGTCCTGGCACTATTTGCAAAAACACAC